CTGAATGGCCTCGGCCTGAAATTGCAGCCTGAGGATTTGGTAGGTATTTATAATATTTATAATATTTATAAATTTGGAGGCCCGAAATTTTTAAATATTATAAATATTATAAATATTTCTAATTTTTAAAATATTTAAAATATCTATAAATTTAATTGCCACGGGATCCCGGGAATGCCAAATATTTAAAATATTTATAATATTTATAAATTTGGAGGCCCGCTATTTTTTAAATATTATTTTTTTTTGAAATATTTATATTATTTAAAATATTTATAATATTTATAAATTTAATTGCCACGGGATCCCGGAAATGCCAAATATTTATAGCATTTATAAATTTAATTGCCACGGGACTCCGCAAATGAAAACTATTTAAATAGTTTTTATATTTATAAATCTATTTAAATATGTTTTATATTTTTAAATTTGGAGAACCGAAATTTATAAAGAGAAGTGCAAAAACAGTCTTCGACACATAGGGCGTGTTCTTCCCTCTTACCACCCCCCCCACCTTCCCTCCCTCCCTCCCTCCTCCCTCTTCGCAAGTTCGACTCCGTCCTGTCGTCGCTCTTTGGCATGCGGTTGGCGTTGCGTATCTTGCGGCCGCACTCGCTCACTCTCACTGTCTCACTGTCTCACTGTCTCTCTCTCTCTCTCATCTCTCTCATCTCTTTCTCATCTCTCTCATCTCTCTCTCCTCTCTCTCTCTCTCTCTCTCCTCTCTGTCTCTCGTCTTTCCGTCTCTCTTCTCTTTCTTCTCTCGCAGGAGGATCCGGGCAAAGAGCCACATATAAAGGACTCTTCACCCCTGCCTCCAAAAAGAGCGCCGTGTTTTTTCCTACCTCGCTGCCCTCCACTTTCCCATTCTGGAGCGCTAGCTTTCGCACCCCCCCTTGGCCTCAAGTCTATGTTATACACTGACCCTTTGGATGGGAGAGCTCGCCAAGAGATGTTCCTCACCAGTCTCTGCCAAGGCATGGGGTGAACATCCAGCACCATCCGGCAGCCTACCACGAATTGAGACTTGAACTGGGTGGGTTCGGCAGCCGGCGCAGCTGTCTCATGCCAAACCCGTGGGTCCTTTCAGCTGAATGAGGCTTTCAGGGTAGACATTGAACGCTTCCAGACAAACTCGAGGCTCCAAACGCTTCCGTTGACGTTCACACCAAGCCAGGGGGCAAGAACAAAAATTAACTCACCCGCCATTTTTGGCATGCCATGGATCCTTTTTTTGACCTTGATGGTTCGTACGTTTATCATACAATTCACTGACCTGCGTCCATTGTCTTTGGCAACAACTTCGAATTCAGTGCTAAAGATTGCGACCACATTCTTAGTGGGAGAATGGAGGAGCAAGCGGAGAAGCCAGCGTAGAACAGATCTTATGTTGATAACTAACAGCTAAAGGTCTTAAGACACAAATTATGTTCCAAGTGGATGGTGCAAGTCTTAAAGGTCTTACACCACCTTTCGTCGCGTGTCTTGCCCAAAGCATCAGACTCAGGTCAACCGAGCGGCCAAGCGTTTTCGTCCTCGGGTCACGGAAAAGAAGGATGGTCCCTGCATTCTCCAGAGAGGGTCTGTTATTCCCACAACAACTCCTCTAGTGCAGGGTCTTTCTTCTGACCAGCTGATTTGTTCGAACGAGTTGGTCATACTCCCTATGGATCCACCAATTTGCCCTCCTTTGAGGGTGATTGGTGACACTTGTACAGTGGTTTCAGGGTAGATGGCACTGACGCCCCAAGATGTCTGCTGTGTGGGGTCCTTGTAAACCACCGAACTTGGATGAACTTGGGGTAACTTGTGCCATCGAACCTTGGAAACCACTGTACTGTATGTAGTAGCGCCATCAGTGGAGATTTGAGCTCTCCCACGCTTGTGCTGCGTGATGGTGGCATCTATTTATGATAGGACCCTGCAGGAATAGAGCATTAACCACACGGCATTCTAAACGCAAAACAGACTTGTTACTGCTGCGCTCTTGTTGAAACGGACGGTATGGTGACTCCACGTCTTCCTGTACGTCTTCCCTTCATCTCTCCCGACGTCCATCGACCGTCCCAGGATCCGCAGAGAGGCCGCGGGCCTCGGCTGCTCTGTGGCTCGGTACCGCTCGGTCACCGGTGCGAAACCGACGATCGGACGAAGCAGAGCGTACCGAGGCGACCGAAGAAGTGTTCGCTCCGAACAGAGGTGTTCATGACCCGAACTAGACTATAAGGAGGTTGAATGAGGTTGAATGTACCCCGGAGGTTGAACGAACCTATTGAATCACCGGGGGTTGAATGTACCCCAGTGGGGTCCTAGTTCAGGTCACTTAACGCTAAGCGTTCTTGGGCTGTCACTCTGTGTAGGAAGACTTTGGCACGGATCCATTGGTGTGACCACGGTCTGTCCATTTCGGTATCCTTATGTATTCCTGTGGATCCACATACCGAACCTGAGAAGGTGAGCAGTGACAGCGCCTTGAAGTAGGCGCCAGGAGGGTCCTAATACCTTCTGAGAAGATGGCAGCAGATCCATAGGGTATTCCATTCCAGTATAGGTCCATGGTATCCATGTATCTTTTCTGCCTGGTTCCGGAATTGTGGTGAATTTGAGTGACTGTCATGGGGGCTGCTGATGACATCTGATGACCAAATCCTGCACACCCGAGATATCTTGAGCTTCTGCTGTGATGGAATGAGGGATCCTGGGGCTGGTGCAGGATGGAG